ACAGACATACATGATGACCTTGAAATTTGGCACTTCAATTCAATTATTGCCTTAAATCTGTAAATAATTAATTGATTCAGTAACTATAACAATATTAGCTGACTTTTTTAATCTAATGAATATCTTATGGTTATTCTCAGCCAGAGTGTGACATATATAGTCTGGAAAATATCTTAGACCTATAAATTTCAACCTGTTGCACCAAAAAAAGAGCAGAACTCTCTGGGAATATTTATAGTATATAAAAGTAGTAGTAAGTAAAACAGCACTGAAGTTGTAGGATGCCGACTAACTGTTGCCCTCAACTTCAAAAATTTCTTATTACAGTTAACACACATTTTTGGAATTTTAAATAAAAATCTAGGTACAAGCCACAAAAACAGATAATAATAATTAAAGAAAAAGGTTGGAACTTGGACCTTTGTTTTTATTTACCCTGAGGTTCTTTTTTATTTTCTCTTTGTATGCAAATATCTCTTTTCAAATACTTTTAACACAATTCCTAGAAATTTTTATTGGTGTGTGTTTCTGAAATTTTGTATTCAACACAGGTATTAATATGACTTTTTAAACTTCTTTAAATTCTTCATAGAATTTCTATACTACAAATATATTTACACTTGGTATTAAGCATGGGCTCCATTTTTCCTCATTTTTATGAACTAGGTCTCTTCTGAGAAATCAGTATATACTTGTTAAATGTTTATCATATAATTATTGGCTCAAAATAAATTACTGATTTCAGAATAAAATGGTCATCATCACAGATCTGAATCAAAAGTTGCCTATAGGGTTCTAAAAGTTTCAAAAGAAAAACTAAAGTTCAGTTCATTCTTTTTCTGTCAGTGAAACTCTAACAAATTAACTTTTCAGGATATTTTTACCTCCTATAGATATAACTAGAGAGGCTTTGTGTTCTGACTCTGGGTACTATTAGATGCATTCTGTATTCACATGTATGAAGATAATTTTGTATTTGTGAGAGCTATTTACTGACATATGCAGTGATATATGTGAGTTTTATTTTTATATTCAGGATCTTCCAAATGGCTAATTCAACTAGCCAATTTTGAGGAAATTTATGGCAAATAAGATAATATTTCAGATGTTTGAATTTGTCTATTATTGTTTCCATTTACATAAAAATTTTAATTTAGGTGGGGTTTTAGTTTAAGTTCACTTTGTTCTTTTTTTCAGAAAATCAGTTCACTATCACCTGTGGAATTTATCATATTACACTAAATTTGTTCCCTTTGTAGAGAAGGGCCCAAGAGAGACTATGCCTCACAGTGACCCTGCCTGTGTTTACTCGGCAGTGATCCTCGAAGGGATTTTTGAAAATGTTTTAGAGCTAGAACCAAGAATTGGTGCGATTTTGAAGAAGTTGTTACCGCTTAAAATTCTATTTTGAGCTAGATATTGCATGCCTAATTCCTTTTAAAACAAAGGGCAAAAGGAAAGCTGCTTTTGACGTTACCAGTGAAAGGTTTCGTTGCTAATACCGAACTTCACTATTCATTTATCTTGACCCTATCGGTGTATGTGGGGTCCCCCTCCTTTTTACTCAACAACAACAATAATAATATCAGATCTCTGGCTAAAGATCTAACCAAATGGAAAGGGTGATACGAACATCCTAGGTCCATCTTTGGGACGCAATGCCCACCCGATCTCACTCCCTTGGGTTCTGGAGATAATTAAGCTTCTCAAGCTTGAATCTACAGGGAAGTTGTCGATGCGAGTCCCGAGGGAACAAATGCTGGCGCTCCCACCGAAAATTTGCCAAACCAGCTCCAAAGTGAGGAGCCCACCGCGACGGCAGGGCGCACACAGGGGCGGGCCGGACGCCGAGGGAGAAGTTGCTGACCGTGCTTTGAGAAGCCGAATCACTGCTTCTCACTCCACTTTTCCCCCCCTTTTCTTTTCTCGCTCACCCACACCAGTACACACACACACACACATAACTCTCAAAATCAGCTGCCTCCTGAAAAACCTCGGGCTTCCCTCGCAGCCTCTGGCGTCCGGCCGCTCCTGACGCCCGCGCCGCGCGCCTCCGGGCCGGGCTGGGGCTCGGGCCGCCGGAGCCCCTGACGTCACGGCCGGCTGCCCGCGTCAGGCCCCGGGCAGCCCCTGCGGCGGCCAGGCCCGGGGCCGCGGGGGCTGCGGGGAGGGGGCCCGGGTCTCGGCCGAGGCACCCCCCAAGCGGCCCAAGGGGCAGCCCTGGCGCTGGCCGGAAAGCCCTGCGGCAGTCAGAGCCGCGGCGTCCGCTTCCGAGCACACGCGGGCGCCCAGACGCGGCGCCGCGTGCGGAGGCCCCCGCGCCCGCGGAGACGCCCGGGGCTGGACGCGGGTGGGCGGGCTAGACCAGAGGGCCAATCCTTCCTTCCACTTTTTATACAAGTCAACGTTAGGAGGTTTCCACTGACTCCAGAAGTGGACCTTAAAATAAAACACTCCCACTGTTTTTCCACCTCAAACTTGACACAACTGGGCAGCTGGTGATCCGGAGAGTTTCTCCCCCAAGCACCGGTTGCTGACGCTCCAAACCTGGGGAAGAAAGATGTGCTGGGACCCGCCCCGGGGAAAAATGAATTCGATCTTGGAGAGGACTTGGCAGCAAACTCTGCTCTCCCCTTCCACTCGCGAGCTTGCCGTCTTCCCCTACTCTCCTGTTCACCGTGAGGCCAGCTTTGGTAACCCTCCCAAACCTTGGACGTTCTCAAGGTTGTGCAGAGGTGTGATTCTTCCGAAGAGGGGCAGAGCCTGAATCCAGAAAAGTGTTCCGCCCGCTCAGCTGCCCTGATCCTAAAGGTTGGGGACACGCGAGCCTGTCAGCCTGTGCGTGGGACTCGGTCTACAGAGCTCTGTCTGGAGCAAATCCTGTACCTCTCCTGGGCCCCGTCTGAATTTCTTCATCGTCGGTCTGGGAGAATCATTTCTCTCCCCTAGCATCCTTGTTTTTAAACTCTCTTTCTTTTCATGATAGTAGGTGCCTTTCTCGTTTAATTTTCCATCTTTTTATCCACACTCAGAGGAGAGAGGGGATTGGAGGCAGGCTCCCAGAGCAAAAACTGGAGGCCAAAAATTGCTTCGCCTAATAAATTCTGGTTCCAGGAACCGCCCCTGCGCAGCCCCAGCAAAAGCCTGAGGCAGAAGCCAACACTCAGGTGTAGAAAACTGCCACGGCCGCCGCGACCCTCCCCCAGGCTGGTAGTTGAGGGAAATCGGCCTTTGCAGGGCTGCGGGGCACAGATTCCTCCTCCCCTTTCCACCCTAACAATGGCTGGGAACTCGCGCAGGAGCGAATTTCTCCCCACACTCTCATATTCAGAGCATTTCGCGGGCTCTGCTTTTGGGAGAAAGAGGAGAAAAACATTTTCTAGGGGTGCTTTTTTTTTTTTTTTAATGTTGGAGCTCTATTGTCAGCTTTAATAAAATCACACCTTTCCAAAGTCAGTAAATACCGCGGGAGCCGCTGCAGCCTCCAACTGGCCTCCTATTCCACTGTCACAGTCAAGTCCCCAACTTCAGTCTCATCCGTGAGCCTGGAGAGCTGCATGTTCCGCCGCCGCGCGCCAGGCCGGGATCCCAGTGGCCAGCCTGTCTTCCCTTGATGGGCCCCGAAATCTGGATACGAGTCGAACCAAATTAAATCGAGACGCGTCAACTTTGAAATGGTTTTAAAATCTGACTTTCCCCTCCATATGTGGCCCACTGCCTAGCAGAAATGAACTGTCACATTCTAACATCTCGTGATTAATGAGGGAAAAATTATATAAATGTGTATTACATATATATCATATATGTGTATATATTTCCATGCACACATACATATACGTAAGTGTGACACTGTCTTCACAGCTTTGCCTCGTGTTAGGAATTAATACAACAGAATTCACGAGAACGAGATGATAAGCTTTATTTATAAGCATCACTTAAAAGTAGCGACTTGGAGGATTTCGGAAATTTGTCTGATGATTTGGGGGTTGATTTTGTGTGTTTTTTAAGGAGCAGTGAATGTGCCATTTGCCCAGTGTCTTTCGCTGCCCTTTTCAGGCAGCAGTCGGCCCTCTTGACACTTGGTTAAGCCTCAGGACTTAAAAAGATCATTTCCTCGTACACTAATTTGAGCGAAATCTGGATTCAGAGTGTGGGTTTACACGCCCAGCTCGGATGTCTAATGTATCAAATCCTCGTTAACGAACGGCCCGCTCCGTGGCCGTGTCAGCCAAAGGTCAGCCCCGCGCACCGGGCAGCGCCGTTCCAAAGCCCTCTTCCAGCGCCCTGCCTCCCCTCCCCCCAAAATCCCTCTCTCACGTTTCAGTAAGCGCGCACGCGGAGTCCCGACGAGAAATGCCAAGCTTGCTTTTCTTTCTTCCCTTCTTCCCTCACATTAGGGGCTTGTAAACGGCGTGTCCTAAGGCAACTGCTGAAAGATTAAGTTTATTTTTTTTCCAGTGGGAAGGGAGAGGAGTTAGTGGACAAGGTAATTGTCGAAATGCCCTCCAGAGGCACGTATGTCTGAGAAGCTGTGACTCTCAGAAATCTTCACTTGAAATAGTAATGATAATAACTTCACAGCATTGGCATGGAAATCATGAGTAAACTTTGTTGGGGACCTCAGGAATTAGAAACTGCTTAGGGCAAGGGGCAATTCTCCTCCCCCTGCTTCCCTCCCGCCCCCCCCCCCACACACACACACTCTTTGGAGACCAGCAGAAAGCTTAATCTTAAAAGATACTTTAGTGGGTGTCCACAGGGACAAAGAGGACCCGGAGGAGCGAGGCTGGCCCCCCGCCCGCCGCCTCCTCACAGCGGGGCCCAGCGACACCTCGGACTGCCCCGGGCGCTGTGTGTTCACGCGCACCAGCCGCAGGGGCCCAAGTCCTGGGCGCGCGCCCCCGGCGGCTCGCGCGCACACGCCGCCGCCCGCGGAGTCCGCCAGGAAGGTGGCGGGGCGGGGTGAGGGCAGAACGCGACTTACCGGATCTGGTGTCTAGATGGCGGGCAAGGTGGGCAGCCAAGTAAGGCCGGGCAGACGGTCAGTCCTACCGGAGACAGGCAGCTTGGGCAGGGACTGGGGCTGGCCGGAGGGCGGGGGAGGGGAAGACAGCGCCTGTCCGCTTTGGGGTCCCCGGCTCCTTGGCCCCGACCCGCGTCCCCCGCCGTCGCCGCCTCAGGCTAAACTCGGCCTGGCCCGGGGAGGCCCCAGAGCCCGCCTCGCCGCCTCAAGTCAGAGCCTGCGGGCCGCCGGGTCTCTGGCGCCGACCCCGGGGGCGCTGGGGGCGCTGGGGGCGGGGAAGGGGCGTCCCCAACTCACTGGCCCGGAGAGGGCAACCGTGTCGCCCGCACGGACGCTGGCGGCCAAGCGGGGAAGCCGGACCTGTCCGCCACGCAGGGCGGCCGGCTCGCGGACCCGGGCCCGCTCTCGTTCCCACCCCTCCTCCCCTCTAGCCCCAAGCCAAATGAAAAGGGTTCTTTGGGTCTTGCCCTTTGGGGCAAGAACGCAGGAACCCACGCTGGGTTTGAGCTTTCTGCTTAGAATGAGCTGACGCAGGTCTTCATAATTAGCGTGGAGTTAAGAGTTAAAATTGCACCCTCCCCCCAACATATTAAAACACAAAGGGACCCAAATCGGAACCGAGTTTCCTGTGGGGTGGCCCTTGTAACGGAGGTTCGGGGATATCGAGGGCCTCTTCTCCTCTAAATAGACGATGGGTGCACTGTCCTCCCGGGACCTCGAACAAGAGAACTCTGATGCGGCAACCCCTTTCCGATCCAGGTTGGCTGACTTCTGCCAGGCCTCCCCGGGCCCAGGTGCCCGGCAGCTCTAATCCAGCCACCCCTATGTTATTTAGCTCTGAGACCCAAGACTCGGAGGCCTCCGGGTAGCCCTTTTCCTATCAGGAACGTTTCCAAACTCCCTTTGCTGCACCTCCAGTTTCAAAGCTGAAGACTTGGCTAGTGACGGCTGCCAGGTGAAATGATGCTATGGCGCCGGGATCTCAGAACTGGCAGGCGTGAAGCTGGCTCTTGGTTAGCTGCACTGAGAACCGGGCAGTGATAAAAGGCCTCTCCTGTTGGCAGTGAGGGGAGCAAGAGGAGTGGACCCCATGGAATGGGCCTGCCTCTACTTGAAAGTAAAATTCAGAAGAGGATTGGGACCTGTCTGGGAGCCATTTTCTGATGTCATGGAACCTAGGGGTTTTGACCGAAACACTCAAAAGCCTAACTCCATGGACACTGGCGTGAGGAAGGAGGAACCCAGGGGCGCGCCAACCCCTCCCCTTCGCTTACAAGTGTTGGTCACTCCACCAGACAGTTTCTGCACTCGCTCTGGAATGTCAGCACATTGGCCACAAAATATCATGCAAAGTGCAGAACCCAAAGGACGTCACCGGGAAAGCAAAGCAATCGCCCAGCAGCTGAGCTCTGGGCTTCTCTCCCCAAACCCCACACTTTGCGGCTCTCCTGGACAGAGCACTTCCTCCACCCGTGGCTACTTCTGAGCTTATTAGAACTACACCAGCTCTTAAACGTGTGTAAGCGGACGTCTTATTTGGGAAGGGTCGAGTGAAAACCTTAGAGCAGTTGTTCACAAACAAGGGGCTGACAGCCCACCAGATGAGCCGGTAGGGACTGGGAACCCGGAGAGAGAAAGGAAAGGGGGGAGAAAGACAAAGACAGGCTTGGATCAGAGCAAAGAAAGAGGGTGGGTGATAGGAAAACCTTTGTACCCTGCCCACCATCTCAGGCGTGGGGTCTGTGACTGGACAAGGTCAGGTAACTGGAGGGGACGTATTCTCCAAGGGGCGAAGGGATGTAAGAACAGCCATGATGCCAGCTCCCTGGAAGGGGACAGGAGGAGGACCGCTTCCAAGCGGCATGGTTCGTGGTCCACCGGGGCGGTCTCTAAAGAAGGGGAAACTGCACGGCCCGCCCGACTGCCGGAGCCTACGCTGTCTGCCTGGCTTGGTGATCTCACTTAAACCCGCGAGGTTTCAAAACAAACACGTGCAGCTTCCTCGCCGCACTATTTTGGCAGCCAGGCCACAGGCTTTCGCAGGCCGAAGCCTCAGAGCTGTTTCCTCGGCGGCCCGCGTGGGCGGGGGACGCCTCATGCATATTCATGAGCACGTGGACTCGCGGGCCGCGGGCCGCGCATGCGCACTACTCTCCCAGCCCCAGCCCCAGCCGGCGGCAGTGACTCGGAAAGCCCGTCGCCGGGTTGCAGGGTGGCGAAGGGGGCCGGTCACACGCTGACCGCCAGACCTTCGGTGGAGGTGCTGTGGGGAAGCCCTGGTGCTCCATCCCACCACCACAGACTCACCTCCAAAGCCTCTGTCTATATGTTTTCAAGAAATTCTCCAGGACAAAAATCTTCCTTGGCTCACAGACTCACCCACCCCGATCCTTTTTCGTGGTTTTACCTTCCTCCACAAGTTTCAGTTTTCTTTGCCAGAGGCTAGGATTTTCCCGCAGAGACAGAAAAAAATGTTTAAAGGGGTTAGGATGTGAGCTTCTCTGACCTTTTTCTCCTTATATTTTCTGTAGCTTAATGGGGATTTTCACACAAAAGTAGATGTAAAATAATCATACTTTTTTAAAGTCTGCTAAAGTCGCTAGCCGTTGAATGTCTTTTTTTTTTTAAGATAGCATTCCCATCTGTTTATATCCACGCTTAATAATTGATTCTTGTGTATGCTGTAGGTGAAAATATCACTGTGCAAGTTTCACAACCCATGAATTCTTACGCATAGACTTACAAAGTACACCCGCTATGTCAGAGACAGCCAAACTTCTGTGGACAATTGACAGACAATGGTAAGTCTCTAGTATTATTGCCAAGCGATGTTTTTTTACATACTAGATAGCTAAAGTCAGTTTCTTATTCTTGAAAAACTCACCGGTATAGCATCAATTGGCAACCTCATACTGTTTTAGGTCCTTGCTCTAAAGTGGAAATAAACGTTAGGAACTAATGCCAGAATTCAGTTTGCATGGTAAAAATAGCCCCTTGTTTGTTTGGCCTGATCGTGTTTCCTCTTGCTTGGTGAGACATTCTGGAGTGAAGCAGCCTTGCATAGATAAATAGAGAACACTTCCCTTATTTTTTTTAATATTATGCCATTATAGTTGCAAAAATTTTTGAGGGAAAGGCTCAAATGTGACATGCTATAGGAAGTTATTAACATTTTTTTTCTTATTTCTAGCCCCAAACTAGTGATTACCATTTGAAAAAAAAGAGATTGCTCTATAGTCACCCCCATAAAATCTTTCATTCTGTATATATAACCAGTTTAAATGTGTACATACTACTGATGGTGAATGGGTTGGTAAAAAGTTGAAAAAAAAATACAACGGAGTAATATGAACCTTTAGTGATTTGCCTGGCATAGATAACATAAATCTTTCCACTGTCACTCTATTTTAAAGAATTCTAAAACCAGAGAGTGATATCAACTGTGGCAAATTTTATGAAAACAACAAAGACTTTGTTTTCCTTATATGAACACATTGTTCTAAGAACAACATTTGATGCTAGGAACAAGGAGAACGCTATACCCAGACAGGAGAAGATAAATTTGTAATTAGTATTTTGAGTCGTAAAAAAGAAAGAAAAGTGAGTTGGGAATCTGCTGACATCACACCTAGCTCACAAATAGTCAAAGGCACAAGCTCAGCACCTTCGTTTTGATTTTGCCAAACCACACAGAGCTAGTTCCTCCCCAGCCCGGATCTAAACTGATGCTCTTTAAGGGCCATGGCCTCCCCAGGCTGCTTCCTGAAAAGCATATGCTCAGGTACCAGCCCCGCCAGCACCGGTTCCCACGGGTTCCAGGACGCTGATGACTGTCTGACCTCAAAAGGGAGCATCGGGAAGGCGTCTAGGCTGGGTAAGGTATTTAGGGAATTTCGTTCTGTTGCCAGACTTCAAAAGTTCTGAGAAAACTTCCCCATCAACAAATAAAAACAGCTAAATGCCAGGTCCATCAGCAAAGAAGGTTAGTGTTATTTTCATTGTCAGCTGAAGCAAAAAAAAAAAAAAGGAAAAAGAAAAAAAATGATAAGCATATGGGCAATTGAAAGGTTACATCTTGCTTTTGGAGGTGGCTTGCTTCTTAAAGGTTAACTTGAATGCTTGACTTTAAAAAATCAAAATCATCAGCTGCAAATGCTTAAAGCAGTTGGGGGTAGCTTTTGAAGAAGAAAACAAAGGACCTGAAATGTTTGAAAATTACTTAGCCCCCACATAAATGGTGCTTGTATATTTACGTGCTTACTCTATAAATGTACACACACACATACCACAACTCATTTCTCTTCATTTCTCAAATATGATTGCTTGTACTCAGGCATTTTTTGTTTTGACACAATATAACTTTTTAATAACTTGTTAGCTGTTCTTATCATTTGATAGTAACAGAATACAATGCAGTCAAAATATGAACCAGGACGACTTTCTGCCTAAATCAAAATCCACAGCTACACACAGAAACCAGCCATTTGCAGCATCTTCAGCTCCTGCTAAATAGGGTCTAACAATGTATTTCGCTGTTCACATTCATGTATTTCAAAACCTAATAGCCCATGAAGAGAAGTATGAAGAATACATCTCAAGAAGCAGACATTAAAGGTACCAGCAAAATAATAGACTACATTTAAGTATGAAGCATTATTTTAGGCAACCTACATCATTAATGACTTTTTCTTTGTGATAAGTGTTAGAAAAGAGAGTGAAGAGGAATTGACATAAATATTGGCTGCTACTAGAAAAATTCCTTTCTGGTGGGAGTGATTATTCACACACACAGTACTCCTCAAATGGTTTTGTGGTTTTTTTAAAAAAATTATTTGACCTTCAATGTCTTAAAAAAAATTTTTTTACACTATGAAGTAGTTGTGAAGTAAATATTTATCCCTAAAATTTATCTTAAAAATATCCTATTTAACTCATATATCACAGTATGATATTTCATTATTATACTATGTTATTAAAGTTTAAAAGTGTATCAGGTATATAACAAATAATGAGACATTTATATTTTAAAAATTGAGGTAAATTGCTTTCAGGAATAGTCAAAGAAAAAATTCAATCACCGACTATCTTCTTAAATGTCAACAACCTAACAAAGTTACAAAAGTACTGTTATTACTATGAATATTATAATTATATAAGGCTCCCAGAAATTCTGATCTCTAAAGAAAAGGATTATTTATTGAGGCGGTTACTTTTTCTTCTTAGAAAGTTGAGCTATTTTTATTCTTCTTTCTAGGTTTATTAGTTATTGGGCCTAATGTCTGGAGTCACTTCAATACTATGCTGTTAGTCAGTTTTAAACCTCCAAAGCCACTGGGGCCCAGCTTGTACTCTCACAAAACTTCAGAACCAGCAGCAATTCCTGCTTAGGTGTTCCAGCTTCCTTAAATCTCACCAAACCTTGCAAGGTGGCGCTCTTTTCATGGAAGGTTGACATCTACTCTCACAGATCACAGTAACATTTGTTTTTTAAGTTAAACACCACCAGCTCTAGTTTTTTGATGTGCTGCAGAAAGTGTAGCAAATCCCCTCCTTACCCAATAAAATTCTGTTGACTAAGAGTGACAAAGAGCAAGCAACGAAAGGAAAAGCCCCCCAAAATTTAAGAGAATTTAACATTTTGACTTTGTAATGGGTTGAAGGTATTCTTTGGAACAGATGTATTTTAAGGGGTTCTTATACTCTTGAGGGTTTTTCCCTCTTGCTTTCATTCTCAGAGTCAGTATGGCCTGTGACTTCTGAATACACACAGTATATTAAACATCCCAGTCTGGGTTCCTCCTGGCCTCCAGTGAGGTCAGTTTCTACTTCCAGCTCTGACCCATCCACACCCTTGCAGCTACAGCCAAGCCCCTGATTTGTGATCTCCGGCTACGCTGTCTGCTTAATGGGGCGATCATGCAAGCTACAACCAGAGACAAAGAAGCTTGCGTTCCTACCAGTGCAGCTAACTTCGAGGCAGCAGCATAGCTTGCAAATCTATCAAACTAAACTGCAAGAAAGACAATCTGATTTAGAGAAAAGGCGTTCTGCTACAGTCATTAAGCACAAGTAATTTAGATTTTTTATATTGTCTCCTCATTTACAAATTTACTGTATCAACGCCAGCCAATGGAACGAATTTCTTAAGTAAATGAGAAATAAATAAAAGAGAAAGATAATCAAATTACATAAAAGAATTCTCTTTCCTAGATGTATTTTTGAGAGAACTAATAACAGTGGCAAAATTATAGGAATAATAACATATCATAGGAGGTAATTAATTTAAATTAGCATCACGTTTGAAGAAATATAAGTAAAACGCTTTATGGACGTTTACTTTTGTACAAAGAAGGCAGGCCTGGAAAAGCATGCGTCGATATCCTGAAAATTAGTTATGGCCATAAATGGTTTAATTGAAGACAGCAATTTAAAATATGATATTGTAAATCTGCAACTTGGTTTCAGCTGGGGGAATTTAATTTGGGGGACAGCGGAACCCTAGCCTGCAAGTTCATTTGCAAAGCTGCAGATCCAGCCCCTGAGCTTCTGACAATTCGCCTACATTAATATTGATGTCGCCTGTGCAATCTATTTCTGTTATTTTTATGGTTGTTATTCTACGTCTGCAAAGGTCATTTAAATTATACTGCGGCCGAAAATTTGTTTCATAAATTTTGATATAAATACTAATTACACCCTCTCGGAGAGCCAGCAGGGTAGCTTTCATTTATCATGTTTATACGACCTGCGATGACAGAAAGGGAAGACTAGTGAGCTTTTCCCGAGACCCACTAAGGCTGGTAGAAGAGGCAGCAGGTTGCTGGGGGTGAAGAAGAAATTCCTACCACAATCACTGAGATTTCAGAATCTTTAATAAGGTACGAAAGGTTACCAAACAGTTCTGGAAACTAAAGTGTACATACGAGTTCTTCTAGCCATAAATATTGAATAGCTGTAACATGAATAAACCGGCCCTTTACATGCGGATAAATATGGAAACTAGGAATTATATACATTATGTGGTTGTATCTTTTGCCAAAAGCAACTGGACAGTTATAGTTTATATCTTTTTTAATATCACTTTACATAAACAAATGGAACAGTTTGACACGCAGATCCAGGCTGTACTATACGAATTCTTGACAGGACGTGAAACAACATTTTACTGCACTAAGGTACTTAGACTTTGGGACGAAATGTTTGCACTTTATACAAAAAAAGCACATTAATACCAATAATATTCTGTTAGGTCGACGTGGAGACTGTAATCGTACAAAGTAATTCACATTTTGGTACACATTTACTAGAACATTCTGGCCATTCAGTACAAACAGTTGGCTTTCGGCCTCCCAACCCCCCCTTCCCCTCCCCCTCCCGCTCCCGCCCGGCCCCTCCCCCCTCCCCCAATGCAAAGACCACAACGCCACGATCCCACCCGCCCGTTCCAACCGAGATATAACTATATACAGAATCCAACAGTACAGTTTTAAGCTAAAATTTCTGTATTTACAAGAATGCAAAGCAAAAAAAAAAAAAGGCCGAATCCCAGAGAGCCTGTTCCGATTCCCAGGAGAAACCGGCCCTCGGGGTTGGCGGCGTTTGGTCAGGCGGCCGCCTTCTCCTCGCCCACCCTCCCACCCGTTGGCTAGCAAGCCTTTGCCCAAATAAAGAAAGAAAAGAAAAGGTCTGGTGCTTTCTCTGACTCGGTCCTGGTTCTATCGGCAGGTTTAGAAAAAACAGGATGTGGGGGTGGGGATGCTGTTTTGATGTTCAGGGTTCTTTCACTTATGTGTTGTATACGCGTGTGTGCTCAGTCTCTTAAATAGGGTTTTGCTCGGTGTTTTGTTTCTGATTTTAAACGTACCATTCGTTAAAATTGGAAGAGAGCGCGCTGTGGCCGGCTGTGTGGTGGACCGCGGAGGAGGAGGGCGACAGGGAGCTGGTGGTCGGGTTGTCTGTGGAGGGAGACACGATGGTGGGCGGCGTGGAGGACTCGTAGCCCGAGCTGGCGGCAGGCGAAGGTTGCGAGCCCTGCGAGGAGGATTCATGGACCTGCGGGAATAAAGTCGCGTTTTTACGGAGATAAAGAGCCGCCGCGGCGGCCGCTTAGGGAGCATGAAGGCCGAGCGCTGCCTGCCGCCCCCAGCTCCCCCCACCCCGGAGCCCTGGATCCCCTTGAACTCCAGGGAGGCCCGACCCGTGGGACTTGGGCTTGGTTGCCCCGCCTCGGCGCTGCAGAGACCCGGCTCCGGGAAAGGCCAGTGCACCCCCCCTCCCCGCCCCGACTCACAAAAGAAAAGAGATCTGGGAAGCCGGAGGCTGGATGTGAGGCCAGAGCCCGAGATGGTGCCCACACACACACGCCCACCCCAGCAACCGCTGAAATTTGCTGGCTCAGGCGTAGGTGAGCCAGCGCTGAGGCCCGCGTGCAAGACCCCAACTCCGTGCAGGCGCTGCCAACCAAGCCGCCGAGGCCGCAGCTTCGGCAGCACCATCCCGCCGGGAGTCTCCTGGCTCCCCCTCCGTCGCAGCCTCTGCTCGCTTCTTTTGACTTTCATTAGAAGGGCCGTGGGTACCCGCATCCCCTTCTCCAGCCCCCGCCCTTTCTGCGCAGTCTGCAGAGGGGAATCGTGGCCTCTCCGCCTCTGCAGGCTCCCGCCACCGCCCAGCGGCCACGCGCCGCCCGGCCCCGGCCGCAGAGCCGCCAGGGCTCCTGGCTACACGGCGGGCGGCGCGAGCGCGGCGACTACCTTCATGTGCTTGCGCAGCGAGCTGGGGTGCGTGTAGGACTTGTCACACATCTTGCAGAGATACGGCTTGTCGCTCGTGTGCACGTGCATGTGCTTCTTGCGGTCGCTGCTGTTGGCAAAGCGTCGGTCGCAGCCCTCGAACTCGCACTTGAAGGGCTTCTCCCCTGGTGCGAAAGGCGAGAAACAGAGGTCTGATTAGAACAAACCCCGCGGCTCTTTAAAGAGAAAAACAAATAGTAAAAGTAAAGACAAAAAGGAAAAAAAACAGCAGCTCAGGGTTAGCACTTTTCAAGCGCAAAAACCCGGGTCGTTAGTGAAATCATATACCTGCGTTGGAATTATAAACATCTGAACTATTTTAACTCAATCCAATGAGATCCAGATTTTACCATTATTATTATTATTATTATTATTATTATTATTATTATTATTATTGGTGGTGGTCGTCGTTTTTAGATCCCAGAGTAGCAGCAGGTCTGGCTGCAGGTCTTTAGGCCCGGGGCTATACAGACGACTCCTGGAAGCTTCTACCTAGCTCTCGAAGTCTAATTTTCACATTCCGGGCTGATTCTCCTGCTGTTTGGCTCTTCTCTCCTCCCCCTACCCCCTCCTCAACGCTGCGCACCCTCCTCGTCGCCGTCGCCGCCCCCACCCCACCCCACCTCCTATGCACACATTTTACCGGATGATCTGGGCCGAGAGCTCAGCTCTGCAAGTTCTCTGACTCAAGCGTTAAACGCCAAGTTCCACACGCGATTCTCAGAAATCACCCAGGCCCACCAGAATCGTGAAGCAGCCCGGACTCCCGGCTTTGTTGGCCCAAGAAGCCCAGAACGGCCTGCCCGACCCAGATTGCAGCCCTAAACTCGCCGCGAACTTTTCTTTTAACTGCTCCCGACTGGTCTCCTTATTTTTAAAGGCCAACTCAAGGTATTCGGTGTTTTGAAAACGTCCTCATAGAATCTAATCGACAAAAAGGACTTCTCCGCCTTCTGCCGAGTCTCCCGACTCCGCGAATCTACTTACAGACACGTCATTATTAAAATCGGGGCTCTTTAAATATGCATACACCTTCAAAAGCCTCCACAGGCCCGATTGACTTGCTTTCACCACGGCCACCCCCTCTTTTCTTTCTCTGTTTTTGTTTCTATGCCCCTTCATCCGATCTCCTCCAGTTTCCTCAGTTCCTCCCTTCAGCAAAGTCCTCACTAAGGTGCGTAGAGAGGGGATGTTGGCTGGAAGCAAACGTTTCGATTTGCCTGCAGCTGAAGCGGTTGGCGCCTCCGCCTCCACCGCCGCCGGGCGCCAGCCACCTCTCCCGGCTTCTCGCGCACCAAGGGCTCCCCAAAGCCGGTTTGTCTCTTAGCTCTCCCGGCCTTTTTTAACTTATTTAAAAATGTATATGCCCAGATCCTTCTCCTCCAACCTTCTCTATACGTTATTAGACTTTCAAGCCTCAAACTGAAACCCAGAGCACACTTGCGCTGTCTGCTGAAATCTGACTTCCAGACCCAACCGAGGCCGGGTTTGTGCGCCCCGCCGCTGCCTTTTGGATTGCGGGTCCCAGGCCCGGGATAGGGAACCGAGGGCTGTCTAGGACAGCCGTTTCCGTACCTGTGTGCGTCCTTTTGTGGATCTTTAAGTTCTCAGAGCGCGCGAAGACCTTGCCGCAGCCCGGGAAGGGGCAGGGGAAGGGCTTCTCGCCGGTGTGCACGCGGATGTGGTTGACCAGTTTGTATTTGGCTTTGAAGGGCTTGCCCTCGCGCGGACACTCCTCCCAGAAGCAGATGTGGTTGCTCTGCTCCGGGCCGCCGACGTGCTCCACGGTGACGTGCGTGACCAGCTCGTGCATCGTGCTGAAAGTTTTGTTGCACGACTTTTTGGGGTTGGCCAGCTGCTCAGGCTCGATCCACTTGCAGATGAGCTCCTGTTTGATGGGCTGGCGCATGTAGCGGAAGAAGGCGCCGGCGCCGTGGTGAGCGGCCATGTTCACGTTCATGGGCCCGTAGCCGTGCAGCTGCGGCGCGGCATAGTGCTCTGAACGCGGACTGGTCACCTGGCCGTACTGCTCGGGCCGCGGGTACATGTCCCCCGAGAAGCCAAGCCTCATCTGCCCGTTGACCACATTGGGCGATGCATGGCCCGCAGCCTGCTCGTGAAGGCCGGGGAAGAGGAGGTGGCCCGCGGCGTCCGTGTGGCCGTGTGGGCCCCCGAAGCTCCCGGCCGAAGCCGCGAACAGACTGTGCTGCGCGCTGGCTGCAGCCGCCGCGTCGCCAAAGCCCCGGTTGCGGAACAGAAAGTCCCGCGTGGAGTTGAAGGCTGCGCTCGAATAGGAGCCGACGTGGCCCGGGTGGTGGTGATGTCCCAGGGCCGCCGCAGCCGCGTAGCCGGGAGCCTGGGATGTGAAGGCTGTCTGGCCCGCGGAGGCCAGCTCGTGCGAGCTGGGGTTGAGCTTGAAGGCACCCATGCCGTCGGCGAACGGGTTGATGCCCAGGCCCACGTCTCGCTCGGCCACGTCGCCCGCCGAGTGGTGGCGGGACGCGCCAAAAGTGGTCACGCCGATCGCGGGGTACTGGGGGCCGGCGTCCAGGAGCATCGTGGCTGCTCGGGGCGAGCCCCGGCCTCCCCCGCCCCCCCCCACCCTCGCCCGCCGAGGAGGGAAAATTAGGAGGAGGAGGAGGTGGTGGTGGAGGAGGAGGAACGGGAGGCGGAGGAAGAGGAGGAAGAAGAAGAGGAGGGAGGAGGAGTCGACCCACCTCGCGAAGTCCTAGCCCGCAGGCAGCGGCGCGGCGCGCCGGGGCGCCCGCCTGGCCAGGCGCAGGGAAGGCGGACGGCTGCGGGCCGCGAGCAACGCGGGCTCCGGCGCCCGCCGACCAGACCCCGCCGGCCCGGCTCTCACTTTCTCGTCGCTCAGTCTCTGCCGAGAGGACCCCGCGTCAAGGCTGCCCGGGGAAAGGCATGGAGCATCTCAGCCCCCCAAAAAAACTTCCTCCTGGATTTGTAGCATAGAGGAATGTGAGCGCCGGAGCCGCGACTGCTCGCTGTCTCTCCGCCTCGCTCCGCACGCCCCTCCTCACTTCTCCACTAGCCCCTCGCCCTTTCTTTTTTCTCTGTCTCTCTCTCTCTCTCCTTTCTATCAGGCTCGCCTCCTCGCTCCTTCACTCTCCTTTTTCCCCCCTCTGCTTTTTGCAAAAAAAAAAAAAAAGGGAGGGGGCGAAAAAAAGAAAGAAAGAAAAAGCCAAAGAAAAGGCGCAAAATCATGCACAATATTGTCTTTTGCGGTTTATCTTCCTGGGGAGAAACTTTCACCTCCTCAGCCGGGCGGTGAGCGCGAGACTGATAGCAGCAATCATTCCTGCAGATAAATGAATTGAAAGGACGACACCGTCCCCCCCTTGATGAATGGGAGCAGGGGGAGGCGTCACGTGCTGCGGACGCGGGCGCCCATTGGTGTGCCGGCACTCCCCCCGCCCGCAGCCGCCGCGCCAACGGAGGGCGCGCCGAGGCGCCGCGCGCCGCTCATTGGCCCGCCCGCCTCATCAATCCCAGGTATTGTAAAGCGCTTGACATCCCCTTTTGACAAACAGGGCTGCCAGGAGTAGCAACTTTTTTTTTTAGCCAAATTTTTCCCTCTTCTCAAGGAAAAAAAAAATTTGCCACGATTTCTTTTCCTTTTCGCGGTTATATACATTCTCTCTCTTTTTATTCGTACGCCCCTCTCTCTCTATCTTGTCCTTCTGCAAACCTGCTCTTAGCTGAGCGATTAGCGACTTCGGGCGTCTCCGAGAACAGGAGGCGGGGATGGGGCTGGTAAACACAGCTAAGGCACTTCCAGAATGTCCCGATTCAGCAACTTTCTTTTCTTTCTTTCCCCCTGTCCCCGCCTTGAAGGGAAGCAAAGGAGGCTTTTGTTATTTGGTCCTTTTGAAGTTTGCTTCCCTCTTGCTTCGTCCCCCTCCTGCTTATAATTTAAGATCTCGGGAGCACACAGGCACTCCACACACTCTTCACAAGAAATGTTATTTCTCAGGATGAGCGGTTGCCTCGATTTTTCTGTTATTAAATCAATCAGGCTTTTTGTGCCCTACCCCCTCCCCCGAAAAAAAAAAAAAAAAAAAAGCTCAGGTGGATCAGGGATCAGAGCTCTAACTTTCCCGGTTGAAGTTTGTTGTTGTTGTTGTTTTTAAGCAAATTAAAAACATTATTGCCGAGTTTTCTTTTTTCCTTTCCTGTGTAATTCTTTTCTTTTCTCCCTTTTCCCTAGTCTCCCGTGTCTGCCCCTCCCGCTAACCCCTCCCTCTGCACTCGTGTTCCCAACCCGGGCCCCTTTCATTCAGGTAAAACTGTAAATTTCCCAACGTGCCATTGTTCTTCAGGATTGCCCAGAGCTCCCTAGAAATCCCGGAATACTTTTTTGGTATTTAAATCTCCGATAGATAGGACCAATGTAAATTTTGTGACATTCAAACCTTTTCTAGTTCACAAATCAGTCACCCTTGTCACAGTTATTGAAATTCCGCAACTCGCCACACCAGGACGGTGGAAAAAGCGGGCGCGGTCTTTGTTGCCGACCAGGCTTTTGATCGCCAGAGAAAATTTACTTACCTTCAGATGAGTGAGCAGAAAAAGAAATAACACTCCCTTTGATTTAGTTAGGAAAATGCAGACATTTGGATTCAGTGCAAACATACAACACTCGCTTGTTTTCGCGATGCGGCCCTCGATTAACCTGTCTTTGCCCAGCGCAAAGTCTATTCAACAACTGCGCGTAGTTGCTTTTTGTCCCGTCCACAAAGAGCCATTGACTATATATTAAAATGATTGTTGAAAGGTAGAGGAGTATGGCACTTAAAAGCAGGGGAAAAAATCCCTGTGACTCAATCAATTAAGGCGAGCAACATTTATGCATTTCAAAAAATGCATGCAGTTACGGGGGGGGGGTTGGGGGATGAAGGTTGCATTTCTCCGCAGCTCTGTTTAAAACCCAGCAGCCCGGGCTGAGGGTTTAGCAGAAGTGTCTGCATATTCATTAGGTCTAATTATTTTCTAGTAAGGAAAACACAAAAAGCCAAGAGTCGGAATCCTTCAATTTGCCCTTTGTTTCTAACTTCATTTGGCTTCTTTGCAGCTGAATCAGAGCCCTAAACTCTTTTCTCAGACAAAGAGACCTCAACTCATCCTTTCACAGGCGGCCCCGTTAGGAAACTCACCAGTGCCTGGGCGAGAGGAAAATGAAAATGAATATTTTTGCCCAGCCGTCTGCTCATACTGCACTGGCTGGAAGAAGGCAGGGTCAGAGTCGGCCTTTCCTCCTTTCTGGGTTTCTGTCTTTTCACCAACTAGACTCCGGCTTGGGGTTGGCGAGCTGAGCTGCTCTTTTCCTGGGTTCTCCCGCCTCAAAACTGGACTTCTGTTAGTTGGGATGATTTCCTGGTGTCTGAGGGAACCTGGCTGAGCATTTGAGCTTGTTGTGCTGGGAAACAGAAATTTGAAAAAGAAAAAAACAAAAGCAAATGTTCAGTCCCCAGCAACAAGTTTGAGTGCAGCAGCCCCGGAATTCCCTGCCAACTTTGAGTAGAACTGGGATGGGGAATGGACGCAAAGGGGTTGAGGGTGGTTGTTTTTTCTTCTTCTTTAACTGCCATACACTTTGTTGAAAAAGAGATATAGCGGAGCCACTCAGAGTCTTTTCTGTTCCCTGCAAGGGGAATTTGGATCCTGCCTCACGGCAGTCATAAAAATCTTATCTGCAAGGTGAAGTTTTCTCTATAGGCTGTGCTGCTTTCACCAGGGAGAACAAATATTGAACCCACCTCGCCTGCCTTTCAAAAAAAAAGGAAAAAACAGGGAGGGGAACTGAGGAGGGAAGGGTAGTGGTTGGGAGGGGGGATGAGGGAAAATAATTCTACAAAAAAGAAAGTCAGTCCTCTCCTCTCCAGTCCGTGGAATATCCAAGGGGGACGTTGACAAGAGGGTATTTTTAGGAAACGCGTCCAAATATACTGAGTAAGAGTGAATGTGAGAAAAAAAAAAAAGTTGTGGGTTGTAGAAGTTATCAAGTGGGATTTGCGGCGCTCTCTGCAGGAAACGCAAGCGGCTCCAGTTCAAAGCCACATGCACCAACGTGACATATAAGCCATTAAAATATCATCCTGACGGCTCATTTCTGCTTCATCATACATTCCCTAACTGCTCCCCGAAAGCTGGAAAAGGAGAAATGAAAGATGACCGCCTCGCTGGAACCACAAAAGAGAGGCTTGGAGGGTTCTGTGGTCCCCCCTCAGCCACCCCAAAGTGATGTGCAGAAATGAGGCGATCCCGGCAACAGGTGGAGCGGGGTAAGTGCGTGAGGCCGGGGGGCAAGCTGACCGGACCTGTATCCCCAGCCGCGAGGTAGAGCGCACCCAAACCCCTCTGGGGTAAAAGGCCCAGCTAGATGTCTTTCCCCATCCCCCCCTCCTTAGCCCCCCAACTGTGGGTATAGGCCCCACCCCACTGACATTGAGGGAAGGAGGGGGCCCTTCCGCGGAGAGGCTGCGCTGGGGATGAGTCCATCCCTTCCTCTCAGAGGGGGGTGGGCAAGGGGGATGAGTGGGGCTCCCACTGCGCTCGGGCCGGGAGCAGCTCGTCGCCGCCCGCCTTCCCTCCCCTCTCCGTAAACCGCCGGGTGCCCCACCTTTGGCACCAGAAGAGGAGCCCTGGTCCCGAGCTTCCCTCGCCCCCAGGCCCGCGCAGGAGGGGGCCCTGTAGGCGGCTTCTCCGTCATGCCCCCCCGCCCAGGACGGCGGGGAAGGCCTCGGCTTCCCCTCTCCGGGGCCAAAGGAGCCGACTTACACCGGCTGGCTGCAAGATGACGGAGCCTCTCCGCCCCAACCTGCCGGAGGTGCCGGCTGGGTCAGCGGCGGGGCCCGCATCCTCGCCCTGGTGCGGTCTGGTCCTGCCTCGGGCCGCTGGCCGCTGCAATCCACTCTCTTCGCCCGGCCGCCCGTGCAATGGGCACTTGGCTTGCTTTCTCCCGGATGCGAACCAGGGCTACGACTAGCTCCCAAGGGAGAAGGCCGCAGCTATCTGGGGTTCTCGGCACTGCCCTAGATGTCTAGAGGCCCTAGAAATTAGGGACAGATGGGGCGGGAACAGAGACTGTGAAAGAAATCTAGCACTGTCCCAAAGGTTTAATAGGAAAGTTTGGAGTTGATGAATAGTCCGCGGGGACAGCTGGGAGCCAGTGAGGTCTTAGGAATGGAGAAGGGGTGTTGGAGGGGCCACAACTTAGCCTGTGCCGTCTGCAGGTGAAATCCAAACTCCCTTTCGATTTCAAGGTCGTATTTCGACCCCTTTTCCGACAGCAATGGCCTCAGAGCGACCCGCCAAGAGGCACCACGTACCCTTCCACTTTAGCCGCCGGCAGCTTGGAGGCGGGGGGCGATTCAAAGGGACGGTTCAATGTCCAGACTGGTCCTTTAAGGGACCCACTAACGCAGATTCTATTCTGGGCACACGGAGGTCGCCCAGACCTCGGCCCCTAGCTGGAGGAACCCTAGCTGTTCCCTCCAGAGGACAGAAGAATGAGTCAAGGCCGTCGCACACCTCAGCCTCGCAGCCCAACTTCCTGGCGCCTGAGGGCCCGACGGAGGGGACCCGGGAGGTGCCGGGTGCAGCCGGCCAGCGCAGACCGCGGGCAGAGGCCGGGCGCCGTTTTGCCTTTAGCCGGGACGCTCCTAGGCATCCTGCAGGCACCCCCCCCCGCCCCGCCCCCCGCTCTGCACCTGCCCCGCTGGCGGAGCTGTGGCCGAGAGGCGGGCATCCCTTTGCCGGCGCGCCTGCGGGGTAACCAGTGTGGAGCAGCGGGGAAGGCTCGGGGACTGAGGTCGCTGGCTTGGGAAGCAGGCTGAAGACGACCTCTGACCTTAGGCAGGCCGGAGCCTGCTAGGGCGACCCCACAACGTGTAGCCTTGGTGTTCCCCCGCAAAGAAAAATGATGCCTTTTGCCTGTACCTACTGGCCCCACTTTCGTGGCTTTCCCCTGACGCGATGAATCACCGATGCTCATTGGCACCCTTTCCTTGTCTCAAGGGAAGGAAGGCAGAGTCTAGTAACTTTCCAGGCTGTGCTCCGGCTGGTGATTCAGCGCCCAGGGCTGGGGTGAGAAGACAAGTCAGGAGCAACCATCTGGGGAAAGCCAAGCCGAGAATTTTCAGGGCTTTTAGATCCCTGGGTTAGCAAGAACCTGAGGTCCGGGGGCCCAGGGACAGCGCCTAGATTCTCTTACCCCTCCTCCAGCAAGATGACTGGCTTGCTAAGTGGGGTCAGAGTTTGAACCAAAGGAGAAGATATTTACCAAGGGTCCATGCACAGGCCGGTGATGGAGCTGCTACAGGAGCAGCCTAAGGTCGGTCCCAGTTGCCCGCCTGAAGTCCAGCCTCTGCAACATTTGTTTGCATGCCTTTGGGTTTATAATGCACAAAGGACCGCCAGGACTGGGGGTAGAAGTGACCCAAGCCTCTTAAAGGGAGGGCTCAGGCAGCATTGTGGGTGGACAGAGGTCTCTAGGGAAACTCACACCCATTTCCCTCTGAAGCAAAAAAGTAAATTCTATTAGTTCCAACCAACCAGGACTTTTCCTGTGCCAGACATCCTGCCATGAGGAAATTTTAGAGCAAGGACTCCCAGCATGCCGCCCTTCTGTAGGAATGTGAAGTTGGGCTTCCTTTCTTTCCTGATCTGTGCGGAAAGGAGCTTATTACCTTTGGGGACAGATGCCTTTTGGTTAGAAAGAATTGAAAATAAATAAAACACTCTGGGAAAAGGTGAGTCTAACCCCCTACCCCCACCCCTCAGACTTGAACCTAGAAAAGACGGGAGAGGGAAGGGAGAAAACACCTAAGCCAGTTCAAGCCCGGGCTGGGGATTGAAGGCTAGAGAAAGAGATCTTTGAGCACAGAGAACTGGAAAGCCTTTGAGATAGCAGAGCCCCACTTGGATTTGGCCTGTGGTTCAACAAGTTAAACAACTGCTTGTTCTGTGGGCTGGAGTGTCAAGACAGGCAGACATCCTCATTGACAAAGAGCTTGCTGTGTTTGTCCAGCCTGAGAACTTTTCAATGACTGTTTGTCTTTCTAGTCCAAATTGAGGGTTGGGGCTGGGTGGATCGCCGGTTTGGCTGTTCCACTGCTTTCAGCCTTGCCTGACAGATGCAGGGATTCCCCAGGATGGGTTTAAGTCTTTAAGATGGCCAAAGACTGGGTAGCTGTATCCACAAAGTGAATCTGATAAGGAATGCGAATATTTTGGGGGTGGGGTGGGTTATTTCTGAGCTTCTTGACTAAGAAATGTGGATAGCCAGGACCAAATGATAGAAAAGATTTCCCCGCAATCTGATGAATTTTACATTAACTTTGAAAAACCAACAGCTACGGCTTCCAAATGGGTGAGAAGGTGCAAGCCATATGAGGTTTAGGGATTCCACATCACCTCGGGCATACCAGGAGCTAAGCACCTGCAAAAACTCCCTCTCCCATCAGTTCCAACACTTACAACTCAATTTTTAACCTGCTCACCTCCCAAAGGACACCCAGCCCTCCTTCTCGCTAAACTTAATTAATTAATAAGTTTAAAGAAAATGATGGGGGCTTCTCAGATTTAAAAAATTTCAATTTCTGGCATGAGACATGTTCGAACATTGGCTGATGGAAAGGGTGGGTAACTCTACTTGCGAAGAGACCCACAAATAAGTTACAGATAAAAATCTAGTTGGAAAATGATGTTTTTTAATATTTTTCATCACCCAGGATATATTGTTTTGCTGTAAGGAGGGATAGTTCTCAGCAGAATTCTTTCACTTGCAAATTTGAAAATAGTCAAAGAAACACTGAAAAGCTCTTCAGACCAGCACTTTCTTTCACTCATACATTCAGTCCATACAGTCTTGCAGTACAAACATGTTAGGAAATCATTTAACTAGTAACTGTCTTTTCTTCCCAAACAGGCTCCAAGTCAGAAAATGAGATCCAAGACTTCTTTGGTGATGAGGAAACGAATACGGCTCTACCGAAACGCCCTGAAAGAGCCAAGTAAGTTAGTATCCTCATTTGAATATTGGTCTGCTGAAGTTATTTTTTAAGTAGGAAGTAAGTTACTTTTGTATGTTTTTTGTTGTTGTTGTTGATTTTTTGTTATGTTGGTTGTGAGTTTGGGGTGTTTCTTGAATTCCAGTGAAACTTAAAACAACACCTTAGTGTTTGATGCATTTGCATACAAATCAACAACACAACTTCCCACCAGCAACCAGCTAATCCCCCTCAATGTCTACTCATCTGGACGTTCTAGAATTAATATTTGACGACTCTCTCATTGAAACAACAACCCCTGACCTTCTGCAGTTCCACTGTCACATTATTCTATGACATATTCATCTTGAATTCATTTCCGGACGATTTGATTGGAATGAGGTTTGACATGTATTGGCTTCCATGAAAGGAGCAGACTTTGATCTTGGTGATGGGGTTTACATGATATGCATCATCTTTACCAGGGACACCAGCCTTCTGCAATGTGGCAGCCACGATGTTCCCACAATGTGGTGTCTGAACGGGAAGTGACTGACAGCCGCTCTGTCAGGAATACCTTCATTGTGAAGAATTTAATTTAATATTCCATTTAGAATAAGCATATGATTTAGGGCTGAGAGTTCCCCTTCTCAGGCATCTAGACCGCCTCATTCCAACTACACCACCAGCTGATGGTTGCCTCCAATACCAACAGCTGCCTTGTTGATAGGAAAAGCAACCTTCTTAACAAAAGCTAAATGGACAACTTATGAAATGACTCTCTTCTATTATTTTGGGAGGATTTGATGGCAGAATTCTCTAGAGAAATGTGGTTATTATGTAAATTCTGTTGTTTTAATTCCTCAGTGCTGTTCTGGAAGATCCTTTAACCATGTTTACTAATCATTTGTCAAAAGGCGGTTTGTTTGGAAATTAAATTTTATCCAAGCATATTTTCTTTCATATGTACTTCCACTAATGATAATTAAATCCCAAACTTACATAGCAGAGGGGAGGAGTATCTTCCTTTATCTTCAAAATCCTGATAGATCTCACCTCCTCTTATAATGTGGTCATGGACCCATAGAAGGCTTCAGGGGCTTAAGGTATTTTTTTTTTCCCCTTAAGACTAGAGACAGCTTCTCACTCTAGGAATCTTGAATTCTGCCTACAAATAGCTTATGAAAGGATTTGCTCCCCCCCCCCCCCTTTGGGTGTAACCCTAGCTAGAAAGAGAGAAGAAAAGATTAAACCAGTGACTTTGCAGACCCAGATGCAGACTATTCAGCCAACAAGGTTAGTGCTTGGCCAGGCTCTGAACAGTGGCCCTCAGTTTTTGGGATCCTGGCTCTCAGCATAACCTGCAAGAAATCATCACTTAGCATTGGTGAAAAGATCAAAATAGAAAAAATAGCCCAGCTATTGACTGTACGTCTCTCTCATTTTTTTTTTTCTCTCCAAGGAAGAGAAATTAGACCTTTGCTCACTTAAGCCAGTATGATGTGAGTTGCTATGGCAGATGGTAGGGTCACCAAATATGTTTCTATCCAGCAGGACTAGAAAATCACTTTAGTTTATGATGTTGCTTTATCATGGCTGGAGTAAACCACACTTAGGGCATGATTCAGAGGTCTGGAGGGATGTTTGGAGTCTGGTGGTGGAACTTACTCCAAACAGGCTCCTATGAAAACCGGCAGTGCTTCTTGAAACTCTGCTGAAGATCTCTGAGCTGCAGAATGTACCTTTTCTTTCTGTATATCAAGCAGAAATGTGGACTCAAGAATGCTATACTCCCCAGCATGGTTAGAAAGTAGACTGCTCCAGTCAAGCATTTGGTATTTAGGGTAAGTGTGGAGAGATAACTTTCTGAAAGAAAAATTCTGAGCATTACTGAGGGACAGCACCACTCAACCTGCCCAATCAATAGTCAATGGAACCTGGAATCCTTGCTTCCTGGGTTCTGAAAGACTCAGGGGAAGAGCCTTGAAAACTAAAATATGCCTCCCTGATTTCGGTGCCCTACCTGTCATCTGTGACCAGCTGGATGCTGCTTTGGGGTTTATTTTAGAGAATCACCTTGAAGACCCTTATGTTATCAACCCAAAGGTCCCTCTTTATAAATAATAGTGAGTAAAATGTTTTCTCCCTCCCTATATCTGTCCCTGGGGAAATGTCCCTCTGGGAGAATGCATGGTCTCATTCTGTGTTTAGCCAACCAAAGTGTGAACCACGTGGCTCCAAGGCACTTGCAAAGATTAAGCAACCTTAGTGACCTTAGGTCAACTGACCCCTGACTTCTCAAGAAGCATCTACCCAGGATGCATCCAGATGTTTTCAGTGCTTCAGGAGAAGGCTGCATCGGGGAAGGAGCTCCAGGGGGCCGGGTTCCTGTCCATGAATTTGGCTGAATCAGATGCATCTGCCTTTTCACTGTTGGCACAAAACGTCACACACATGTTCAAAGCTTTTCGCGGGTGAAACCATCAAGAAACACCGGTGTAGTAGCAGCTTCTGTGTGTAAAGCCTCCACTTCTTATCCCTGGCTTCTGTGCAGGTGCTTCGAATTCCAGGGGGGGGGGGTGTCCACAAACTCAGATGGTTAAAAAAAAGCATCTTCATTTTCACCACCTTCTAATGGAATGTTACATGCTGAGTGTGGACCACAAACAGAGGATTATTAATGCTCACCAGGCTTGCCAGGGTTCCAAGAGAGTCCACAACCAAAGACCAACTTGGATACTCCTGTTCTGTGCTGTTATTCAAAGCTTTTGACACAGACGGGGTCACAGAGCGTATGGATACTGAGTGGTTCCTCTTTGTGCAAATCAGTTTTAATGGAAGCCAGAGTAGATGGCTAGTTTGACAAACAACCTGAACGTTAGGTTGTAGACCACCTGCTTTTGATCGGGAAAGAAAATGTTTTAATTGAAATAAAACAATTTAATCGCTGGGCTACTGCCTCTACGCTGAGTGAGGCCTGAGCGCCACAGGAGGACCTAAGCTCTATGTTGATAAGTGGTTAGGAGAAACAGCCTTTGGGCCAGGGGTCCCATAAAGGAAGACATTGGTTCTGTTTTTGGACTATGTGTTTTCAGAACCCGTCATGGGTTCATGGGTTCGCCTAGACCACTGTACCATTCAAAAGACACCTTCTCCATGGGACGCCTTGAAACCAGCGCTTTGTGGAAGGGAAAACGGGGGGCGGGCAGATGGAAAGGAGGCACCTGTGGGCAGAGGGGATAAAATCCAGCAAGGGAGAGTGTGCAAGAGGGTGAAAGCCCAGGAAAGGAGACGAATCCTTGAAGGCCAGTCTCAGCACCACTGGGTGGAAGCCCTTGGTTTCAGAGCAGAAGGGGTCCGGCTGTCAAACGCTCTCCTTCAGCTTCTTCTTTTTTTAATGCTAACGCAGCATCTATTGGTAGCTTGCTTAAGCTCTTCCGGCCGGAGGAGACTGGACTTGTCAAAGCCGAGGGAAATCGTTGTAGAAGTTAATCCCTCACTAAATTGCGGCCCTGAGCAAGGAACAATGCATTAAATGAAGAAAGTCTCAAAGACTCTGCCAACTATTATACATAAGTTAATTATTTTTAAAAATTTTAAAGAAATCCTTATTGACTGACCAGGAAATGTTTAAGAATAGTCCTTGGTGCTGGGGGTGGCTGAGGCAACTCAGTCAACTCCATCAGGGTTCCCTGTAACCTGTCCAACCGCCTCGCCCCCTGCTAGGGGAGCCGGGTCTTTTACCCAATCCTTAAAACTTCTCTTAAGTCTTTCACTGCTTTGAGGGCGCTTTCTGTGGCCGCCGGGGAGGCCGGAGACAACTTATGTTGGCATTTTCGGCTCCTGACTGCAAGGCAGGCTTGAAGACTAGCAGCCCTTTAAAACGCCGGGTGCTGCAGCCGGCCCCAGCCGGTCTGCTCAAACAAAGAACCGCTCCCCCCCCCACCCCGCCCCCGTTGAGGCCACACTCGGCTGGGCCAGGACTGAAGGCTTCTTCCTCCGGCCGACCCTCCACCCCAAGACAGCGGAACCCGCAGCCCGGGAGGGCGTCCGGGGAGAGGAGGCGGCGGCTGGCCGGGGCTCTCACAGCCCGGCCGGTCAACGTGGCCTCGGCTCTAGGCAAGCTAGCAGAGGACAAGCTCCGGCCGCAGGCAACAAGTGCCCGAGGGCGCTCAGGGTGGAAGCGATTCCCGAGTCTCCTTTCCCAGGGGCAGGGCCGCAGACGGACCGAGAGAAGAGACCTGGGGTCGAGGACCCGCCCTCCTCGCTGCGCGCCCCTCGCCTTTGTCTCTGTGGCCCATCGACCCGCGGCTCGCTGTGATTTGCGGCCGGGAGGAAGGATCCTTGGGCCCTCTCCCGGGGGCGGCGTGGATTCAAAACCAGCTTCTCCTAGATCATCACCGTCTCTGGACCATTCCTGGGGCTCGGTTCCGGGCCCGATTCTAGAGTCCGCCCGTCTCTGAGCGTTCCAGGCACCCGGGAAGAGGGGCCGACAAGGCTAAACGGGAAAAATGTGGAGTGGAGGGAAAAGGGAGGAGGAGCGGAGGAGAAAGGCTCTAAGTAGGAAGGCGAAGTGTGTTCAGAGGGCTCGTGGAATTGAGAGCGAGAGCTGGAGAAAGAGCGAGAGAGAGAAAGCTGAGCGACACAAGGAAATTCGGAGAAAGCGAGAAAACAAAATTAGGGGCAAGGGCTGCTAGCCCGGGAGCTCCCCTGCTCTCGGCCTCCTAATCTGCAGCCGCCTTTCCTCCCCGGATCCCGGGCCCTCGCCTCCTCCCGACACCTGGGACCAGCTGCCGAAGCAGGCAGCCGTCCCCGCGCGCCCACGGCGGCCGGGCTGGGGGCTCCGGGCCGCCCGGAGGACATGACGCACATCGCAACGGCCCCTCCCCGAAGTCGTGGTGACTGGAGGCAAAACCCAGCCTCGCTCGCTTCCGAGAGCGCGGAGGCCGAGCCGATCTGCCTAGCTTTCGGGAGCGAAGCGGAGGGGGCTCCAGAGTAGAGAAAGGAATCCGTGCCCGGGTCAAAGCGCATGAGCAGTAGGAGCGCGAGATGGGGGCGGGGAGGGAGCCGCGCAGCTGTGACTCCGTACGTGTGTGTCTGTGTGTGTGTCCCCCGTGCAGAGAGACCTGTCATCGCTGACGTCGGACCGGGCCGCGGGCCAATGGGCGACCTAGGCGATTGTTCCTCTCGGCGGGCCCGGGCCACGGCCCCGAATCTCTATTCACTTCCTCACGCGCCCCGCTGCTGCCTCTGTAGTGTAAGGGATTTCAAGTAGACATTAAAGACCGAGAGAGAGAGGAAGAAAAAAAAGTCACAACCCAAAACTCGGGGGGCGGGGGGGGGAGAACTTTGCAGAAGTTGTTTGTGATTGTTCTCTCCCCTCCGCGCTTTTAGGTGACGGTGGCCTGAGTGCCCCGACCCAAGGAGCTCCAGGGAGCCCCGGCCGGGATGCAGCAAGCCTCCTTCTCTCAGCCGATCTGGGCGCTGAAATTCGTATATATGGCCGGGGCGCTCGGGCACCACCGCCGCCTACAACATCGCCACTTCCCCCACCTCCACCGCCCCCCCCCCACCCCGGGGAGCTGGCCGCCAAAGCGCACTCGGAGCGGCCGGTCGGACCCCTTTGGAGCAGAGCCCGGCCCCCCCGCCCCCCCAGCAACCCACAGCCTCAGCTTTGCGCACCCCACAACCCCTTCAATCTACCCCGCCGGCACAATCACTCTCCTGCTCACGAAGCGGCAGGGGGCTCTACGAAACAGCCGCCCAGCCGGGCCGCGACGGCGGCGCTTGCCCCGCGTTGTCCACCCGGGTCGCAACCGCCGCTGTCTGACTCTCGGTCCCGGCGCTGACCGCAGAGGCCGCGGTGTGGCTGGGCCGGGCCTGCCCCCTGGGGCCCGGCAGAACGCTCAGCCCCCGCCACACGTTCTCACTCGCACTGTTTGTCTCAACAACAGGTAGCAGCTCCGGACACCATGGCCCCCAGCTCGCTGCCGCCTCGAGCCCCTCGGTGTTCCCGGGCCTTCACGAGCAGCCTCCCCAGGCCTCCCCTGGCGGCACTCTGAATGGACTCCTGCGTCTGGGGCTCCCCGGAGACATGTACGCGCGACCTGAACCCTTCCCGCCGGGACCTGTGGCCCGCAGCGACGCCCTGGCAGCTGCCGCCGCCCTGCACAGCTACGGGGGCATGAACCTGACCGTGAACCTCGCCGCGCCCCACGGTCCCGGCGCCTTCTTCCGCTACATGCGCCAGCCCATCAAACAGGAGCTCATCTGCAAGTGGCTGGCGGCCGACGGCCCGGTGCCCCCGCGCCTTTGCTCCAAAACTTTCAGCACGATGCACGAGCTGGTCACGCACGTCACCGTGGAGCACGTCGGTGGCCCGGAGCAGGCCAACCACATCTGCTTCTGGGAGGAGTGTCCGCGCCAGGGCAAGCCCTTTAAAGCCAAGTACAAACTTGTAAATCACATCCGCGTGCACACGGGCGAGAAGCCCTTCCCCTGTCCCTTCCCGGGGTGTGGGAAAGTCTTTGCTAGATCAGAAAATCTCAAAATACACAAAAGAACTCACACAGGTCAGTATTCGGCACTGTCTGTTTCGTGCGGACCCTCTGCGGGAAAAGGGGGGCCTCCTTGGGGCCTTCCAGCTGGATTTCCTCAAGTTCCACCTGGGGGGAGGAGGAATATTTTGGTGCTTCCATGAGCCAAGTTCATAAAATATTAATTATGCCCTTCTATTAGAGTCGCAGAAGTTTCCTGAGGCTGTGTGTGGGAAGGATAGTGTGAGATTTCTGCTGGAGGGGGTGGGGAGGGTGCTTGGGTTTCTGTGTGTGCAAATGTGTGGTCCCTGCTTATCTAGTTTGCTATTAAGGCATTCTAAAGGGCACCGTTCATCAGAGTTGTGAAGACACAGGAAGAGTCTGTTTTCCTGGTCCCTTTGGAATTGTGTGGGGAGCAGTCCTGTAGCGGTCAGCCTGACAACCTGACCGCCCCCTGGACGGAGAGCTCCCCAGCCCCTTCGTGCCTTCAGGAGTTGGGAGTCTCGTGGGCTAACTTCACCTCTATTTTGAAGCCGTGGCCACCCAGAGTCTGGATTGCTTTAGCAGAGACCCAAGGAGACTCATCTGCCTTAAATGTCATTTACTGAGCTGTTAAGTGAAATGGGGACATGTGTCAACAACATCTGTTAGTTCTAGTTAACAGAAAGGAAAGGAACGAGCTCAAGAGCCTGAAAAGTTAAACTCCTCTGGCCAGAAGCATCTCTAATTAATGCAATTGCAAGGAGAAAGTTTTCACACTTCCCAGAACAGCCTGTGAAGTTATATTAATTAGTTTAGCAGCCAGGGTTTTCGTTCTCCTTAGCTAGGGTTTTCTTGCCCTGCTTCCTCAAAGTTTATGAAGTCAACATCTCCCCTCCTCCATTTTGGGGACGGGAGAAGGGGACGTATGGAAGAGACAGAAAGGATGAAATAAGTTTCAGCTTAGTGCCCCTTTCTACTCCCTGGCATTCTGCCTTACCTCTACTCTTGGTGGAAACATCAGCAATTATCAAAGAATTCCCCTAGGCTGGCACTGCCCAGGAAAAGAAGCTTGCTAAAATCCCACTCTCTCCCCCCCAAACCCTGCAGTCTTGGGGAAGGTCTTCGTCAGGACACTGGCACACTCGGAGGCAAGAAAAGTTCACTGTTAGTCTCCTACTTTATTTCCGGAAACATACGGTTTATCCGAGCTGCTTCCAGGATCCACCCCCCGCCACAATCTCTTGCAAGAGTTTGTTCCCCGCCCCCTCCGATTTTTATCCAGGGGAAGAAGGAGAGGAGTGAGACCCAGATCGCCGCCCTCAGGCTCGCTATTCATGGAGCTGGCGACCCGCACCGCGAAGGTAGACTCGCGTCCTGAGCCAGAGAAGGAACTCATTTTTAATGACAGGGGGTTTTAAACAAACAAACTTTTACTGCTCTTTGCCGGCCTACTGTTTGAAGTCCGTGAAGCAGAAAATGGTTAAATTCTCAGTGCAATCGACCTACAGCAGAGAAGCAAGTCCAGTGCGCCCGAGCTGGCTCAGGTTGCGTCTGTTCACAACAGAATTCTAAGTACATCCTTTCCCTTTCTACTGGCAGTCCTGATTCATTAGCACGGAGTTTAAAAAAAAAAAAAACACAGAGCTTCTGCCCTGGCGTTTCCCTCAAACCCTCCTCCTAAGTAATGAAAAGAGGAGAAAAACAACAACAACAAAATGTTTCTGAAATGGCAATAGACCTCACTACAAATTATTCATGAAGACAGTTCTCGATTCAACAGGAAAATAATTGCCTTTTCAAATATTAATGGCGTTTCATTTCCTTGAGTCGCGGGAGCGGCAATCAGGAGCCGCTTTCTTGGGAGTTGAGATTTTCTCGGATCCGAATGCCCGGCCCGGCTTCAGAGGCAGCGGCTCCGAGCCCACTCCGAAAGCTTTCTCTTCGCGGTGGTCACAGCGATCCCGGAACAATGGTGCTGCCGCGAGGCAGACGCGGGCCGGCTGCCCGGCGCCCTTCCCCGGACCCCTGGGCCGGTGGCTCGCCCCACTTTCCCAGGCTCTGACGGTAGAGGGAGGCAGGGCTGGGATCCAAGGCAGAGAAGAAGAGGCCGCGCCGGGGCCGATGCTCGGAGATCCCGGCCCAGCCACAAGTGCGAGAAAATGGCGCTAGCCGAACCGCCCCGCCGCTGCCTAACTTTGTCGGGCGGGCCTGGCGCCGGCCGGGGAAGGAGGCCTCTCTCGGCGGCTGAGCCTCTGGGAGGAGACTGACGGCCTTTCAGGACTCAGCCTCAGGCCCAGGCTGCTCGGGGCCGGCTGCCGGACCCCGGCCCAACCCTGCTTCCCCACATCCATCCACCCACCCACCCAGGGCGCAGCGCCCAGATCTGGCGGGAGGGAGCGGGCGGGAGGCTGCTGTTGGGTGTAGGGGCGGGGTGGGGTGGGGTGGGGTGTGCAGTTAGGCGAGGAGTCCGGGGCTCCTCCTGCGGCTGCGGAGAGGCCGGGCGGGCGGCGGGGCGCGGCCTCACCTGGCCTCCCCTGGGCCTGCGAACTACCAGCCTGCCCGTATCACCTTCAGTGCCCTGCTTTTTTCGCCTCAGTACCTCGTCTGGGACGAAATCATTATTTCTGTTTTACGTGAATGTTCAACAGGGCGCTCACAAGATGGATTGGGGAGGGAAGAAATATTGCGGTTGCAATCGACCTCAAATTCTATTTCTCCTCTGTTGTCTTGGCAAGTCTTGCTTTCTTTTGCAGGCCCTGAAATACATGGTTTCTGTACGTGATTTTAGAAAGAAAAGACGGAAGGAAGGGAGGAAGAAAAGTTGTAGTTTTGCAAATGCTGACAGGGAGCAGAAGGGAGAAAAGGAGAGGCATATCGGGACACTGGTTTATTCTGCATCATTCTATTTTTTTTTAAATAAAATTATACAAGTGTGCCGAGAAACGGCAGATGCCAGCAGCGCCCAGTGTTTCCACTGAACTAACAATACTCCTGCAGTGGGAACTCACAGCGGCCGCGCGGTGAGGGAGCCTTGGGCTTCTAACCCGCTGCCGGGCGGAGGCGAGGGTTGTGCGCAAACCTCTGGGTCAGCCTAAGCCTCCACGGGACTCAGGAACAGGGGCTTTGTTTATTCAAACCTGCCCCAAAGCACTCATCTCTCCTGGAAGCGGCGGGAGAAGGACCACAAAGGCAAACAGTCCTCCAGCCGTGCATCCCTTCCTCCTTAGCCAGACGCTTGGTAGCCTCTCCCTCAACCCAGGGCGCCCGACAGCCTCCATTTGTTTAAAGCGCCCGGACATTTCTTCCCCTCCTTCCCGCAGCATCTGCAGCTCCTGCAGAAAACTGGGCTTCCGGATTCTTGCGGTCCCTTCCTCCCCCAGACGCTAGCGAGTCCAGCGGGCTGTGAGCTCCCAGGCTGGGTCTCGGTCCGCAGCCAGTATTTCCACCTTAACGCGCGCTCGCGCCTTCCCGCGGCTCCACAGGGCATCGCACCGCGGAGCCGAGCCCTTCCGGGTCTACGCCGGCTGCCCGCTTGCCCTCCCGTCCACCTAGCCAGGCCTGGCTTGACCGCAGCAGTTGCGCTCATGCTGAAGCTGCCGCGACAAGGGTGCGATCACTGGAGAGGCCACAGATCCCGCTTGGCCCGGGCAGAACCTGACTCGCTGGTTTCCCTGCTCGGGCCCGGGAGGCCGGACCGTGGGCCGTGGGTGGTCTCTGGAGGCCGCTCGACCTCTCACAGTCAGTTTGGCCTGGGAGAGACGGCTGCCCGAGGCACAGTCTCCAGGAGGCCGCTGGAGCAGCGTAATAAAATATTATTGCCTGCGCGCGTATCTGGAGGGATCCCGGACAGTTTAGGCAAGATTTGAAGAATGCTGCTAAATGTTTGCCCTCGGGGGGTAAAGGGGAAGGGGAGGGGGCTCCCATTTCCCGTAAAAATCGCGACTGAAGTGAATCATTTCTCAGAATACCTTTCCCTGCAGCTCGAGTGCACATTGGGCACACGCCGTGTGCATCGGCTGCGCATCCTGAAAGTATCCCATCGCCTTGGCGTTTGCACAAAACCTACTTTAGGAAACGATGTGGGCCAGGACTGGATGTGTGCGGGGTGGGCCGCTGGGCGGGGAGCGGGGGGGCGAGCAGAGACGTTTGGCTGGAACAGCAACTTTAAATTGAGCAGATGCGAGCTCCACAGTCAACTCTCTTCTCCGGGCAAAGGTGCTTCTGGCTCCGAGTGGAGAAAATTTGGAGGAAAACAACCGGAGTGGCTCTGGATATTCCCAGGAAGGCAACTGGACTAAGATGGAGTCTTTGTCGCTCCTCCTCCCTCCCCTCCCCCCAGGCCCAGGCGGGAGAGAGGGAGGGCCGGAGGCTTGCAGGGGAGAGCTGGGGGGGGCGCTCGGAGTCGGGGGGGGGGGGTGCCGGGCCTGCTGCGCCGGGGAAGGGGGTTTCTGAATTTGTGTGTGTGGCCCTCTTCCCCAAACTGGAAGGGAAAGTGGGGAAGGGTAACGACGTTGCCACGCGCACTAACGTCTCTGCGTTGCCTCCGCCAGGGGAGAAGCCCTTCAGGTGCGAGTTCCAGGGCTGCGAGCGGCGCTTCGCCAACAGCAGCGACCGCAAGAAGCACTCGCACGTGCACACGAGCGACAAGCCCTACACGTGCAAAGTGCGCGGCTGCGACAAGTGCTACACGCACCCCAGCTCGCTGCGCAAGCACATGAAGGTGCACGGGCGCTCGCCGCCGCCGCCCGGCTCTGGCTACGACTCGGCCACGCCGTCTGCCCTCGTGTCGCCCTCGTCGGACTTCGGTCGCGAGCCCCCGGCGGCCTCCTCGGCGGCGGCGGCGGCGCGGGGCGCAGACCTGAGCGAATGGTACGTGTGTCAGGGCGCGGGCCCCGCGGCGGCTGCCCCCGCGGCGCCCCCAAGCCCCGCGCCGCCGCCGGGCCCCGCCGCCTGGCCCCGCCGCCGCCGCCGCCGCCTGTGCGAGGCTTGCTGCTGCGGGTGCTGCTTCCGCTCCGCAGACGGGCAGGTCTAGGCCGGGCTACTGAGGCTGGAAGAGAGAGTGAGGGAGGAAGCCCGGGAGCGGGAAGGGAGGGAGGTCACCACTAATCGGGGGCAGAGCTCACCGAATATGCCAGTATGAGTCCATTGTCTCAAAATATCAATAAGGTACCACATGGATTGTGCAGTCACATCCAGCACCCTGCCCACCCACCCAGATGCCCTCGACTGAGGAGCGTGAAGCCGGGGTTGGGGTAAGGTAAACGGAGAAAGAGGCAGAGGGTGAAAAAAAAACAGAAAAAAACAAACACATCTTAGCAGAGTTTCCGCGCAATCTTGGCAACTGCAGGTGGCAAAAGTAAGACCACAAAGCCCTGTGTGTTCACGGAGTGGGAAATGTTTTCCCCGAGGCCTGGGGCTCTGCGACTGCGACCCCTACTCCCTTCCCAGCTCCCAGTCGGAGCCTCCTCGGAATTCCTGCGCGGGAAGGTGGCAGAGGAAACTCACGAGCCCTATCTCCTCTCCTGTTTTCTTCCTCTTTTGCCTCCCTACACTCCCCCTCCCCCAGCTGTTCAAGTCCCAGATGGAAAGATTTCCAGCCACTTCTGTAAAGGACACGAGAGGGAAGTGGGGGTGGGAGTGTGGGAGGGGCGGTTAGGCACCTGCCCTGCGGATCAGGGGCGCCTCCTCCGTAGGCTGGCCCGGGCACAGTCCGCGGCCTTGGCTGCAGCTGCGGCCTACGTTATGCACCGGGGCTAGGAGAGAAGGCCCCTCGGGACACAACAGAGAGTGTGCTAAAGGGGCTTTGGGAGCCAATGCTCTGAGGACCCCACAGACCAGTCACGCTCCCCCCACGCCGCACCCTGGTCCAGGAGCTGGCTGTGGAGCCTTGTGGGTGCTGGGCGGTTGGGATGCAGAGTGGACCAGTGACGTCATCGAGTCTAGGCCTCCGCAGCAGAGGGGTCCCGCCTGGGCGACAGTGTCCGGGTGCATCGCAGCAATTCTCTGATGGTCTTTGTCAAAAATCACACAATGTTGGTTTTGTTTAAAAGGGGGGAGGGGCTCGTGGGACAAGAGACAAACTGCGAGAATAAATATTTTGAGGCAAACACCCAATGGGTCTAGATTGAATGTGTATTTGATGTGCTGGGTACCAAATCCCCTGCAAAAGAACCAGATGTCGGGGGCAGGGAAAAGGAAAAGTCTGCAATTGTTGCCAAGGGGGAGGAAAGACCAGGGCCTGGTTCCCAGTCAGTTACCCTCTGAAGGGAGGATGGCGCTGCCCCAAAATTCCTGCTAAGATTGGGGGGGGAGGGGCAGATAAAAAGGACAGGGAAAAGTTCTGGTAGACCCATCTCAGCCCCTTAAGAATTTGGAGATAAGTAGAGGTGTGATACTCCTACCTATGGGGAGCCCCCAAAGAGCTCAGTTTAAAAGCTGGACACAGCAAACCAGCCCAGATTCTGCCACTCTGGTGGCTTTTCTTCTGTTCCTTCCTCCGCAGACACCGTTGGAAGATTGTCACTCCTGCCCCATCGCCATACACTTCCATCAGATAAATAACGTCTTAACTGGAGAGGGACTGTTTTCATGACCCTTAATAAAAACCAGAATCTTCCAAATACATCTCTAGTGAACTCGCCCTTGTGGAAGGGGCTCTGCAGTCCTCTTCCCGCCCTGCCCCCACCACAATAGGGCCCAGAGGCCGTCTGGCCCAGGGCTGGAGGTCGGCTGCAAACGGTTCTCTCCCATCCAGCAACTCCCGCCGCGCCGCCAAGGTGCAGGGGACGTCTGGGGGAACTTGCGTCTTCTGAAGACGGTAAAAAAAATGTCCCAGTCTCCAAAGGGGACTCCTTTCTTTCTCTTGCTTTTCTAGGCCCCATTTTTCCTTCCACCCCCATGCAAAATAATGAAATAAAATAAAAAATGCGTAGTCGATCACTAATCGCCTTTAATTTTTCATTTGCTTGTTACAGATGTCCACCGCGTTGCTCGCAAGGTAATCTCGCCCGGCGCAGCTGAGCGCCCGCATCTCGCGCCTGCGACATCAAAGGGACCGCGCACAAAGCAATGTTTCTTCGCCACGGTGCATCTTCATGGTGAGTTAGGATTTCTATGGCAATGGGCAAGGCGCACTGAAATCCTGAAAGGCCGAGCCTGGAGCCCGTCCAGGCTTTTCATTAAGGACATAATATTTACGTCTAACAGGCCTTTTTTCTTGTGTATACAAGTATATATTTTTGTTTGACGCGGACTAAATCATTTTCATTTAATTTCCGGTAAACAAACCCCACGCGAATGGGCACTTGCTCCCGATCCTAATAAAAATGGATAATCATGTGAGGGGAGAAAAGGGCTGCTTGAATCGCCGCTCAGCCCCTTTTGTTCCTGCCTTCTGCGGTGATCAGAGGGCGCATTTGGGTTTGATGGCGAGTTTCTAAAGGCGAGGAAATGGTTTGTAAGAGGGGAAAGAAAAGGAGAAAGGTCTAATCAAACTCGGGTTGTTCAAAGAGTCGGGTTTTGGGGTTGAAAGTGTGAGTTTGACGGTGCATCAGCATGCCGCGTTAGGCTCGCCATGGAAATACGCGCGGGGAGCGGCCGCTTCAAAGGCGGCACACTTCACTGCAGACACTCTATTAAGATACATTTGCGCTGACCTTTGCTTTCACGCCATTTAATACTGTCACTGTGCTCTCCAGTATATACTTCCTCCTTAGGACCTGCCTCGCCAGCGTTTAGGGGTTCACCTTGCACTCTGGTGCGGGGGAGGGGCGCTTGACACCAGGGACGCTTTCAGGAAAGGGAGGAGCCGGACTCCGCGCATCTTGACTGCGCCCTGAAGAGGCTCCAGGGTCAGGAGTAAATAACTTTCGGGCAAGCTCGGAAGCTTAACAAATGAGCATCCCCAGCTTGGTTTTGTGTGGAGCAGCTCTCCGCCTCTGGAGCAGGTTGGAGGCCTGAATTTGAATGGGACTTGGGGGAAGGAGCAGGAACCGCCCTGGATGAGTCTGGGGAGTTCAGATTGTGCCTTTGGGACATTTCACTCTGGCCCCCAGCACAGCTCATTCGGCCCCTCTGTCCCAGAAGTTTCTCACACACCCCCAAACTTGTTTCTCCCCAGGGTGGGGTGTAGGGACCCCCAGAGGCCTGGCTGGCCTGGTTACAGACTCAAGAGCCCAAGGCCAAGGGGATAGGGAAGATGGAAGGAGAGTTAGAAGTCCATGTTCCCTTAATTGTCTTGTTGTTTATTTTATCCAAGTACCCTTGTGAATAGGGGAAAAATAAACACGGTGGAAAAAAAAATCAAACAGTGGAGTCTTCTTTAGTGCCAGTCCTTGTGGTTGAATAAAAAGGATGGTCCGCTTTCTATTCAGCTGAGAAATCTTTGAAGTGGGAGTTATTATCTGAGACATTCCTCCTTGTCGTCCTAACAACGCTGATGAAACGGAAAAGGCTCTTTGTCAGCGATTTGTTCTCCTCTCTGTCAAACTCTCTCTGCCCCGTTAGTTTCAAACCGTTTCTAAAGAGATAAAATCTAACTTCTTAAAAAAAAAATACATGCAGACTACACTAACTGGTAACTTAGGGCTAAGTCCTGCCAAGGGGAAAGCAAAAGCATTGCAGAGCCATCAGGCCCAGAGCCTGTGGAGGTGTGCGGATGTTGAGGGGCTCTTTGCCCAGGCTCTGAGACAGGAGGGAAGGAATGCAGAGACAGTGAAGCCACAGCGGAGATACCCTAAGCCCACACTGCGGCCCGCTTATCTCTGCTGCTCTGCACTCAGTCAGTCCAAGTCAGGTCACCTGGGGACCCCTCGAGCTCCCACTATTCTTGCTCCCGATCCTTGGAACCTAAAGCTGCAGCGATGCAATTGTTCATATTTCCTGCTCCTTCAAAGACAATCTCAGCTAAAAATAGACCCATTGTGTGTTTCTTCCCACTAGCAGCTATCAGCAAGCCCTTTCTGCCATTAATAGAAAGAAGAGGGGCTTGAGGGAGAGAGACCTTTTTATAATTTCCTGTTTTCTTCAGCATCTTGGCAATTGCAGTTCAGAAGGTCCTCGACCCCAAAGTGCATGCAAATGTCCCGCTCCCCATCCCCAGGTGCAGTCCTTCATCTCATCTTGTGCCCAGGAAAGAGAGAGAGACTTTCACCCAGTCCAGCTTGCCCCAGGCATTTTGATGTGGTTTTAAAGGTGTTTTACATAAAGGAGGATGTTCCAGCCTCCCTACCCCCATGTGTGCTGACTAAATGATTTGTAAAGAAGTTTCCCCAAGCTGTAACCCATGCTGTTATTATAGTTGCTACAAAATGTTGTCTTATATTGACTTTTATTTGTTTACTGGAGGTCCCCACATGTTTGTTTATATTGCTAATTTATGGGAAAATGTAATGATTACAATGAATGTGAATTATACAGACAGGCAAATGTTTTGTGATCATAATTTACTCACGCAAGAAAGCCTGGCTGAAACCTTAGACTATTTGGTACCCTCTCTACCCACACTGTTAGTGATTTATCATCCGTCCCCTTAGCATCCTTAAATTATGAACTAACTTGAAAGGAAAAAATTTGTTATGTGTTTCACTGAAAGTGATTGTCGAATGAAAATATAGTTGAAACCTGTGGTTTAATCTGCTGTAAATATGTAAAAATGAATTAAACCCGTGACTCCTTTTCCCTCCAAAGATCTTCATGTACATGGAGATACGTTTCCCTATTTTCTTTGGAAATAAACGATGTGATGTTCCCCTTTCCCTCTGGAATTCCAGTGTCCTGTTATTGCTTCGTCGTCTTGGGAGAGATTTGGGGCCCGCCCAGCAGCATCCCGTCCTTTTCCCTGCCATCCCTCACGACTTCCAGATACATCTCCAAAGTCTAATTGTTTGGAGCAGCAAAAACAGAAGGGCCCACCAGAGCGGCCCTTCTTAAAGAAGACTTCTCTCGCCCCCACTTTGACCCCAGTAACACTGGCACTCCTTAACTGGTTTCCATCGCGGAAGGGGAAAAGGTAGGCCGATGCTTTTGGTGTGT